AAATGCTCTTAAAGCTTCCTCATCCCATTCCCAGCCACACCCCATTCCATTGTCACACAGTGTGCTTCTGAATTCAAAGGACACACATGTGCACACACATTGGCTGCCTACACACAGATGAGAAACTACTCTGCACACACCCCAAACAAGAAGAGTAACGGTCACCTGGAACCATTGGCATAAAAACCAGTAAAGAAAGTCAGTCAGGCTAGCAAAACATTACTACAAAACCAGTAAGTACCATAGCCAACAACTGTCCTGTTTTCAAATTTCACAGAGTTAAAACCCCTAAAACCAATACTACCCCTCCCCCCACCACCCTCCAACACTCCCAAAATAAAACTTGCTGACACACTGGCAAAGTTAGTATTTCACAATTAATGTGAAAATCCATCTTATATAATCTCTTAAAATGAACCTCTTCATCCCTTCCACAGCATGAAACTGTTATGGCTTAATTATATTAAAAAAAGTAGAAAAGTCTTTTCCAAAGGAAATACAGTCTGCAAAGATGCATGTGCATTTCCTGATCAGTGCTATTTCATACCTAACAACTACACAACTTGCTTGTGCAGTCAGAAGCTGTTTTTGGAAAAACTGAGGTTATAGCATTTGATTCAGTCTAACCATAAACTGTAAGGCCCTTAGTTTGGTTTAGGTTTCTTTTGCAAGATAAAATAACCTTGGGGTTCACTTAGCAAGTTATACCTCAGGTCCCTGACTATAATGTGTAAGTTACATGCATGTTTTAAAAAATAAAATGTAATTTATGAATTTTAGGAGGGAAGAAATGATTCTAGGCAAGGAATCAACTCTATAGTTAATGCTGGCATTTTTTTACCAATCCAAATCCACCAAAGAAATATAAGCATATGTCTGGGTTATTTTATTCCTGCAAAATAGTATATATTCTAGCACTTAAATAATTGTTTTGGTGAAAAATCTGGAGGGAAAATAGCTGACACTTTGAAAAGGAAATGACAAGGGAAAAAAAAAACTAGTTGAAGACAAATTTTTTTATGATTAAGTTGCATTTATGACTGCTATCCAGAATGTCACAGACCTTGCATAGGTAAACTACTTGGAGGTCAAGGGCTACGTGGTAGCCAGGGTTTCATCAATGAAATAGTGCAGAGAAGGTAAATCTGTTGGAAGAATTACTGAATACAGTTTTTAAAACATTTTAACAAAAAATGTAATGCTACAATTGTTAAGACAAAGCCTTAAGACACTAGAAGGCTTAAGACCAAGGGTGACAGGAAGAACCTAAGGATGTCTTAAGTGTTACCTGTTCCTCCTCAGTAAGCAGGGAATAATTACCATAGAAGAATAAAACCATAGTCAATGACAAGAAACCAATTACTTTGGAAACAGACATTTGCTTCTTTTTTGGGGGAGAATTTTGAGACAGAGTCTCCCTGTAGCCCCAGCTGTCCTGTAACTATGTAGACCAGGTTGGCCTTGACCTCACAGAGATCCACCTGCCTCTGCCTCCCGAGTGCTGGGATTAAAGGCATGTGCCACCACGCCCAGCCTAGACATTTGCTTCTTAATGCCCTCAATTAAAAAAAAAAAAAAAAAAAAAAAAAAAAAAAAAGTGTTTATGGAAAGAATATCAAATATTTTTTTCTTACAGCATTAAAAACTGACAAAATAAGGGAAGGGTTTGGAGTAAGGCTATAGTATTAAGGTTAATTATGTTCAACAGCAATTTACTGATTATCTTAATTCTTCCTCTTTCTTTTTACTTAGCCTCAAGGAAGCATATGGACACTTATCCACAAGACAAGCAGAAGCTGCAGTGTCATAGAACAGGGTCTGTTTAAAAAAGCAAGGTATCTATCACAGGTTCCAAATCCACTGTGTGTCCCTAAATAAATCCCTGTCCTATCTGGGAGGTTACACTGGTCACCCTCACTGGTTGGCTTTCCTAAAGATGTGATGCCCAACCTTGAGACGACTTTAGATGGAGATGTACAACACCAGCAACAATCTGGCAAACCTCAGCCCCTCATGCTTTCTTTTTGTGGTGCTAGGGATCAAACCCAGGGCCTTGTACATGCAAGGCAAGACCTTTTATACAGGGAGCAATTAGTTTGAGAAAGATGCATTTCTGAAAGTTATTTAGATTTACATTATGAAATACCTTGTCTCTCCATGTGAAAACTAAAAATGCATATTTGTTTTGATAGTTATTTCTAGCAATATAACACCCAGGCATATGATCATTCCCACCAACTCTTGGGGAATAGTCTTAAGCTGTAGAGAGTCAGCTGAGTCTTTCTCTACTAGTCAGGGACTTCTCCCTCTACCCACACTATTGCTACCCAATCCAGAATTGTTTTTGTGGAATTTCATCTTCTTAATCACTTAATTTTTCTCCTAGTCTCATGGGTAGCTGCTAAATCATTTTAATTTCATTACTTATTTTATCTTTATCTAGTACCTGAAGAGTATACCAAATCTGGAGAATAGTACTATCCCAATTCTGCTTTGAAAAAAACCTAAAGTTAGCTTTCAGTTATGCTAAATAAATCACTACCATGGAACTGATGAGAAACATTCTCACCCTCGTATCCATAAACTAGCTCATTTCTTTTTCTTTCACGTCAAGCAAGTGACCTGACTTGAAATTCAGCACCTTGGGGATCTTTTTCAGATTTTTTAAGCATCAAACCCTGGGCATATATTTGGTATGAAGTAAGTTCTATGAATAGTAGCAGTGTTCACTTAAAATTGTGTATAAAGGTGCATTCTTTATCAGCTGTAACATAATAAACTCTCCAAGTATGAATGTTAATAGACTAAGGAATGCTTTCCTATATGCTTTTCTTCACTGATTATCTTGTGTATTTTTAATCCAAAGTTACCAATAAGAAAACTAAGACTCAGAATAATTTACATATTCAGGGTCATACAGCTGACACAGAAATGGTAGAACTTAAGACCATGGGTCTTCTGCTTTTTTCCTACTATACCACATTCTTGTATTGTTAATATAAATTACTTCTGAAATGTTTCTTAAATTTTTTAAGAAAGGTCTCTTTTGAGATCCACTTCTACAGTGGTACATCTCAGTTTATATTAAAATTATACTGGCTGTTTTGTTTATGAATGAGCCACCTGCTCAAGTTTGCTTAAAAGTGAAAATAATACTAATGTCTTGGAGAAAACATCTTCACAGGTAGAGAAAAACTACGACTTGAGATTCCCCTACAGTACTAACTAGTGCTGGGCACACAATAAATGTCTGATAAATACCTGCTGATATCGTATGAATAAATCCAGTAGAATACATTGAAATGGCATTAATTAATATTAAAACACAGAATGGTATTCAGGCTAAGTGTTTAACTAGTAATATAGATGGACTAGTTTCCTCTGAGTTTGTGACTTCAGTAGAATGTTCAATTATGTATGCTTAAAAATGAACTGGTATTGATAAATTTCAACGTATTCCTAAGATACTGAAAAATATAAGCTGCCAGTTTTGCACTGTTGTATCATTCACCAATATTGGAGAGCAAAATATTACATAATGTTGTAAATTACAGTACAGTAGATCTCAGGTTAAAGGTTCCTTAATTGAATTAATATAGAAAACCTACTACTATTAAAGTTGCATACGTTAAATAATTAATTCTCAATTTTACACATTTTATTTATGAATAACTAACTGCTATAGTTGCTGTCTTCTTGTCTAAGCTGCTTATAAATGAGACTAAAGGAAAGACAGAGATTACTTATTAATGCTGAGCCCAGATCCTGGCAGTAGTCACCTCAAAGTCCAGCCATTTCCATGAGATAAAGGGATATATCATAGCTAGGGAGCTTTATAAGAGGTTTGACTAGAAGTCACTAGTAGGTGGCTGAATTTTTACCAATTCAGAAAAAGATACATGTATTCTTCCATAGTGGTTATATTAATTTGATACAAGTTTTATAACTTAGTTAATGGGCTAAAACTGACAAAAATGAATCCACAGTACCATTGTTTTAAAATTCCATTTACTGGCTACTCAAAATTAGTGTTCATCAGTCTAAGGACACAGGATGGATACTGGCCACAATTTTAATTCATAAAAATAAATTAAGTTTTAATTTCTATAGCTAAAGAAAGAAATACTGTTATGAAAATGTAAAGAAAAAATTTCAAATCATGATGTAACTGGAAAAAGAAATTAACATTCTTATTTCTTAACCCAAAATAAAATGCGTGGTCTAATGCTACAACAAAAAACTAAGACATCACAGTGATATATTGTGGAGAGATGAGAGAAACAGTCAAACCCAGGTTTCTGCATCTCAAGATGCAATGACCAGCTGATTACACCCATCTCTCTACTAGTTATGGCATAGCACAGACAGGGTTAAGAAGGCTTCTACAGATATAAGGATTTCCATAAATTCTTCTTCCTAACACCCAAGTAAGACTGAGGCTTTGGTCCAGATAATCTGGCCCCAAAAGGCAATTTCCTATCTACATAGTTATCCCATGAAATATTATAATGGAGACAGAATAAGAAATATTTCTTTGGGAATACACATTTTGAATGCAACTATGAAAGATAATGGTACAGATTTTTTTTCTTAGCAATTTAATACAGAAGCAGAAGTCCAGCTACCTTGCTGAGTTAAAAAGATAAATCCATATAGGACTTATTTCTCCATAAAAATAAATTTCATCTTATTTGCCTATATTGTAGAAATTTGCAAAATGTGATACTGTCAGGCCCTCAGCATCCATTTATTTTTATATGACAAGGAGGGAAAGGGGAAGACTAGAAACTATTATAATAAGCAACTGAAAACTTGCCTTTAGTAAAAATTGTACATAAAGGAGATAAATATTACTTTAAAGTTTAAGCAGACACTTAGCCTCCATATGCTATCAGTCAAGTTACGACAGAGAGACTGCAAAGAGCACCCATTTTACTCAAAATCTGTATCTGAAATAATTGTTTAGAAGATTAAGAAAAAAAAACCAAACACAAACACACTCACACACAAAGATCTATTCCAACATGCTTGCATCTATACAACTTAATATAGTATAATTCTATTGTATTACAGATGATTATGCAGATTCGAATATCCTAAATCAAATCATACTTCTCAACAAATTAGCTCTAGAAAATGAAAGCATGGTAAGATATAACCTCTGTGGCAGGTGCTGGCCCTGTCTTCCAATACCAGCAATATGAAGAAGGCCCTCTGTAATTATAAATGTTTTGGAAAACTACAAACATGACATTCTAACCAAACTTTTATTTCCCCTGTAAGTACAAAAGCGTATTAAAGCTGTTCTCTTTGGGACCCAGATACCATCGGAAGAAATGAAAATGCAACAAGCCCATTTTTTATGTTTGGAGAAAACCACAATGTCAAAGGAAATGAGAAATAAGGGATCTCTAATGGTGTCTTAAATGTTGGCTATGAAAGTATTTCCCTGCAAAGAGAAGAGTCTTGTAGGTTCATCTCAAAACGTGGGGGGGGGGGGGGGCAAAAGGGAATCAACCTGGATAACAGTATGCACCTTGGATGTTAGCAAAAGCGAAGCTAATAGCTTATAAAAAACACATGAAATATATAAAATAAAATGATTTTCATATACATCTTAATTTAAAATAATTAATGCATCAAATCCCTGTTTAAGACTTTAACCTGAATATCAAATTTAAGAGTCCAGACTAGTTACTGTTACTGTGGCTCTTCCCCACATGTAACACACACACTATCAAAAATAATTTAAAAACCTTCACATTCTTAAATCTAAATTAGTGAGACAGTTCTCCAGAAATCTTCCAAATAAATAGCTTTAAAAAAGAAAGAATTTAAAAGCTGTTAACGTTAAAAAAAATCTGTTAAATAAATTATTGATAATTCTTTATCCTACTACTGAAAATAAATCAAGACACTACCAACAACAAAATTAAATTCAAGCCCTGACAAGAGACCCTTTCCAGTTCAAGGTCTCTTTTAAAGGTTCTACCCTCTTTCTTCCTCTCCCCCACCAGGTCCAAGGGTTATTGCTGAGTGGGTGTGGCACAGTGAAAATGCAGCATCAGGTTCATTCTGTTCTTCGGGCAGTGTTCTTACTGTACATGCAAACTGCTCCAGGCAGGGGACATTGGAAGCTCCAGGCAGGGGACATTGGAAGCTCCAGGCTCCCAGACCCCAAGACTGGCCTCCAAAGGCTACAACAGCAGCTGTCACACAAAGAAACGTGCATGGCCATTTCTGTTCAACTTAAGGATCTTCCCAAGACGTTGTTTGGCCGTTGCCATTCCTTTTTTTGGACGTTTACCTACAAAACACCAACAACATTGTTAATGCTCATGAAAAGCATACCTGTCAGAGAATACATGGAAGACTTAAAAGGGAGAGCTTTGTGGTAACCAAGCCTATTGGTGCTCCAAACACAGTCATATTTCTGAAGTCCATGGTTTGATACCCTTCCATTTTATCACACAAGAGATAAACAAAGGCCAGTCTCCATCTAAACTATGGGTCAGTAACAAAATGGGCTGTAACTCCATCCATTCCTCATGAGCCACTGCCCTCTTGATGCCTCAGGTCATGCTGTTTCCTGACTTAACTCCTGTTCTGTCCCCTAACTCAGTCTGGCAAATTCCTCATTGTTTTTTACTTCCTCCTAAGCCTCAGGAGGCTACTCCTGATCCTTAGGATTGGCTTGGGTATCTTCTCTCTTTGTTCCCACAGTAGCTCATACACACTGCTACCGTGCTGTTGTCCATAAAGCAGGAGTCGGTGAGCAACTTGAGTGCAGTAGATTGCAGCTACCTACTATCACTGTCTTCACACACAATCAGAAATGGACATTATCTGAAAATGATAAAAGTTACCTTTTGTTGCCTGGTTGCTGATAGGTGGAGGGTTTGATGCAGGTCTCTTGGTGGGGTGAAGGGGCACTGAAAAAGAAGTTTCACCAATCAGACTTTCTGGGCTTAGACTGCCATTACTTATTTGGCACGATCCCGAAACTAAGCTAGAATTCAGCGTGCACTTTCCGTTCTGAAGGCTTGAGTTATTGCTGTCCACATAATGCCTGCTTTGTGCCTTCTGACTGATTTCTGAAGAACTTTCCTTTTTGATGCATTTCTGGCTTCTACTTAGGTCCTAAAGAAGGCAAGAAGGAAACATAACTCAATTTTTCAGGTTTCAAATAAATAAGGTATTTAAGCTCTCTATGCATTAGCAAAATCAAGAGAGAGAATTAAAAATTACTCAATTTTAGTTTTCTTTTTATTGCACTTCATAAATTTATTCCATATCCTTTTTCATTTATTTTGTGTGTGAATACGCATATGCCAGGGCATACGTGTTAAGTCCAGAAGATAACCTGTAGGAGTTGGTTCTCTCTTTCCACCATGTAGGTCCTAGGGATCAAACCCAGGTTGTCAGGCTTGGCAGTAAGTACCCTTACCCACTGAGCTATCTCATTGGTCTCTCAAATTTGTTTTTCTTAATTAGACACAGATGATCACCCTTAATAAACTAATGGTTTGGAAAGATTAGTTCTTACTACTTAAGTTTTGAAGTTGCATCATTAAGTGAAGATGAGACAAGAAAGATCATATTCTAAGCAAGTAGAGTTGCTGCCTGTCATCCCATGAGAGAGGGAAACTGAAATAGGAACAGTGGACTCACTGTTTCCTGGCTCACCACATTTCTCACATATTCTCAATAATAATGCACTATCATTTTTTTAGGGAAAAAAAAAAAGAGAGGAAAAGAAAAGAATGGAGCTGGAGAGATGGCTCGGCAGTTAAGAACACTGGCTGTTCTTGCAGAAGACCCAGGTTTGAATCCCAGCACCCACATGGCAGCTAACAACTGTCTGTAACTCCAGTTCCAGGGAATCCGACAGCCTTTTCTGTCCTCCAAGGGCATTAGGACATGAGTGCACTTGCATACATGCAGACAATACATGCATACACATAAAGTATTTTCAAAAGAAAAATGGCTAATTTATTGTGGATGTATGTGCAGATGTGTGCATGAATGAGTACATGCACTCATATGTAGAAGTCAGAGGACAACTGCAGAAGTCAGTTCTCTCCTTCCACCATGTGGGTCCTGGGGACTGAACTCAGGTCATCACCTTTACCTGCTGAGCCATCTTGCAAAGCCTCCTGTACTACCTTTTTAAAAACTTAAATCTTGCTGGGTGTGGTGGTGCACGCTTTTAATCCCAGCACCCGGGAGGCAAAGGCAGGCAGATCTCCGACTTCCAGGCCAGCCTGGTCTACATAGTGAGTTCCAGGCCTGCTGGGGCTACAGGGAGATGCTGTCTCAAAAAGACCAAAAACAAACAAACAAAAAAAACCCTTAATCTCTATAAGGTTCAGCAATACTGTATGTGTTTACTAAAAAAAATTCCAAGGTTCAGGACCCAAGTTTGGTCTTTTTTTAACTAGACATTCTATTCAGTATCTTTTTGTTTGTTTGTTTGTTTTTTGAGACAGTCTCACTATGTAGCACTGGATGGCCTGAAACTTGAAATGTAGACCAGGCTGGCCTCAAATTCATAGAGATCAACCAGCCTCTGCTTCCAGAGTGCTGGGATTAAAGGCATGTGCCACCATGCCCAACCTTTTCAGTCCCTTAAGATTATTGAGTCGATTTCTAAGGACAAAAAAATATTACTGACTGATGATTCTTGAAATTAACTGAGAAGGTTGTGACCAATGTTAAAAGAAAAAGGAATTGACTAGACACAACTTTTTTAAAAAAGAAAGCAAAAACAGTATTGAACATTCGAAAATCTCTTAATATTCCAACTTTTGAATATACCTGAGGATTAAATCTGGAAGTTCTATCAAATTGTTTAGTCCAGGAAGGGGTCCTCAAATCTTGATCTTCAGTTTTGACAACGTATCCTACAGAGAAGTGTTAATTAAATTATCTTTGTACAAACTTCATCTTAAAGAACAAAACTGGCCTAGCACTTACAGTTAAAAACAAATTTAACGTTGACATTTTAATATATATATATATATATATCCATTAACTCTTTATTCACATACATTTTCTTTTACTAGACCCTTCTCTCTCTCCTCTCTCTCTCTCTCTAACAAAACAAAACAAAACAAAACAAAACACAACACCCATAGGCAGCAGCTCACAACTAAACTTTGAAATTGTCTTTATATGACAGGTTTTATGTTTTGAGACACCTATAGGCAAATATTATGGCCACGTGCTGTTGATGTAAAACCAAATGCAATACACTGACCATAGAAAGGCAAAGTAGAACAGGGAACAAACTCAGATTTAAACTTGAATTCCTCCATACCAACACAACTTCAGTTTGCTATTACACAATATGCAAAAGCTTTGGGATCAGATGGTCCAGGGCTCCAATTTCACCCGATCTAAATAATATCTATGTAAGTATGTGGAAGTTAAATGAACTTCATCAAGTCATATTTCCTTTGCGTGTAGAATGGGATCACTATTACTTATGAAATGTTGTTTCAAGAATTACTTGAAATGGAGGTCAAGGTATTCATGCACAGCTGACCCTTAATCAGGGAGGACTGAATACAACTGTTGTCTTTTTCCCAATCAGACTTTTTGGTAGACAATGTTTTTTTCTGAAGGCATAGAGAAGAAGCACTAGGTGGCATCACTGGTATGCTGATGAGTCTGCTCCTTCCCTAATGCCTCCTTTTTAAGGAGAAAGCAGTTCAAAACTTGTTTTCCTCTCTACAGGGTTTATACTGAGTTCAACATTGTATAACTGTATTAATTCAACTGTGAACCTAAAAATTTATAGCCACTTTTGAAAGAGATGTATCCTTGCTCTGGAATGTGTTACTGAATATGTTAAAGTTGTAATGAAATGTTTCTTCTAATCATGTAGTTATTAAATTAAAAAAAAAAAGAAAAATGGACTGACTCAGCAGACCATTATTACACCAAAACACCATTTCTTCCACTCTGATCAATCATACTGTTAGTGAAGGGAAATGATACTATCTTTGCAAGGGCAATGGTAGAATTATGCCAGTGAACACAACTCTCAATCCCATTTCTTTCTTTCTTTCTTTTTTCTTTTTTTTTTTTTTTTTTGAGAAAGGGTCTCCCTGTAGCCCCAGCTGTCCTGGAACTCACTATGTAGACCAGGCTGGCCTTGAACTCACAGAGATCCGCCTGCCTCTGCCTCCCAAGTGCTGGGATTAAAGGCGTGCGTCACCATGCCCAGCCATCCCATTTACTTCTATGTAGAAGTTTTGTTCTAATTTTAATTACATTTTAACTAATTTTGTTGTATGCCTGTGTATGGGTATGTGCATGTCACTGCTCACATGTGGCATCAGACGACAACTGTGGGAATCAATTCACTCCTTCCACATGTGGGTCCTAAGGATCAAACTCAGGTTTTCAGCAAGTACCTTTACTTGCTGAGCCACCTCATTAGCCCACATTTTAAATTCTTATGCTTACATTTTACATGCCTTGGCAGCACTATGAAAATTTTTTTTTTGGGGGGGGAGATCAACTCTCTTAAAACTATTTCTTTTAAAAAATATTTCATTTATTATTTTTATGTGTACAAGTGTATTGCCTGCACTTGCCTGCATGTACGTAAATGCAGCTATGTCGTGCATGACCACAAGTCAGAAGAGGGTATCAGAGTCCCCTGGAACTGTAATTACAGATGGTTATTAGGTGCCATGTGGGTGCTAGGAATTGAACCCAGGTCCTCTGGAAGAGCGGCAAGTACTCTTCCAGTGTTGAGCCATCTCCCCAGCCCCTTAAAACTACACACCCACACACCCACCCATTGTATTTTTGTTTTGAGACAGTTTCCTTGTAGCTCTAGCTGCCTGGAATTCACTCTGTAGACCAGGTTGGCCCCCTGAGTGCTGGGATTAAAGGTGTGCCACCATACCTGGCTCCTTACAACTATTTCTTACAGTAAGCAGTCCTTATTCATACCATCTCTAACCTTAATTAGGATTATAGCATTATTAAATAATATACAATTTTTAGAGACTGATAATTTGTATTTCTTACCACATTCCACTGGCTTATTATAGCGATACAACTGCCTAACTTCAGCATTACTACTGTGGCAGCTGCTGGGATCCTGGAGAGAGTTCTTTTCACCATTGCAGTCTGTGCTTTGAATCTGCCTTTGTAAACATGTGGCATAGTGCAATCCTGCCATGGACAGCATGCCCTGAATAGCTTCTTCTTCTGTGCTCGTGGAGGTAGGACATTCCCTAAAGAGCAGGCAATCCAAAAAGGCAAGAATATTTTTTCCGATGAAATTTTCAGTAAAACTTAAAACTAAGAAGTGTTTTCACAGCATTTAAATCATAATGTAAAACAACTACTACTGTCAACAAGCCTACCTTTTAATTGAAATTTCACTTCTAGATGGCTTTTGGCTCTTTTGAAAGAAGTTCCTCATTATATCAGATTCTTCCTTAAAATTTGACATTGTTTCATGTTTCTTTTCATCACCTGAACTTTCAGACTCTTCAGTGGTAAAATTAATTTTCTGAAATAATACAACATAAAATAGAAACAAAGGTAAATAAGAAATTGACCAGACTGTAGAGACTAATTAAAAAATAATTTATCTACCTAGTGAAAGTTACTATCTTAATTATCATATAATTACTTCTGTTTTTTACATCAAAAACTGAAAATTTCCAGTTACTACAGTTACATACTACCCGAAGATAGTAAGGTTTAAGGTAAAATAAAATAGAGCCCGTGAGAACCATGAACTACACAAGAAAACTGAAAAGAACAATCTCTCCCTCCACCCTTACCAAAGCCAGACAAGAGCTACTTATGGATGTGACCAGTCACAGGATGAAGACCCTGTGCTGCATAGGTCAGAGATGAGTTTTGGGAAAAGCTGCCAATGGCCCTCCTCCCAGGTGAAGCTGTATGGGTGTTCATTTTCCCACATAACTCTCAGGGCTTCAAGCATACCAGTGCAGTGCAATCAGGTCCAGAGTCTTCTGAATCAGAAACATCAGAATATTCTGATGATCTAGTCCTGAGTTCTGATTTCACACTTGTAAAAATCCCTGGTGAAGAAGTGTATGAGAGAAAATCATTAGAACTTTGGGGCAAGATGAAAAGATGATCTCTAAGGTCTATCCAGTTTCAAGGTAGCTCTCCATCACCCAACCCTGCCCCTCCCTTTCTGTTTTTATTGTACCATCACTGTCTCCCCAAAGGTCTTTCTCCCTAACTGACCAAGACATAGACCATTTGAAGTATGTTCTTAAAATGTTTGTATTTCTTGGGGCTGGAGAGGTGGTTCAGCAATTAAGAACACTGGCTGTTCTTGTAGAAGACCCAGGTTCGAATCCCAGCACTAATAGGACTAACAATTGTCCGTGGCTTTGGTTCTAGGGTATCCGACGCCCTCTTCTGTCCACTGTGGGCATTGCGCTACATGGGTGCACTTACGGACATGCAGATAATATACACAGACGTAAAATAAAAATATTTTTTAAAAAAATGTATTTCTTTCTTTCCAGAAAAGAGCCTTTAGAACTACAAGATGCTTTTGACTTTCCTTTTACATTAATTCTCTCACTAGAGAACAAAAAGGAAACTCTTAAACCTCAAATGCATTCACATGGACTGAGTTCAATTAGCTTATAATCTGGATTCTTATTCTGCCTTTCTCTTCCACAAGGCCTTGCCACATAGCAATTGTTCCATCAGTTCTCAGTGATTTACTGCCTTTGCTCTGACATGTGCACAATGGCAGAGTTACCAACTATAGAAGGACCAAATTTACCTGGAACTAGTAGGAACTGAGATATTAAAAACAGATTAAATAATGTCATTATGCAGAACACCTACTCATAAAAGAAACAAAAATATTGATTTTAATTTTTTTTTTTCGGTCTTTTTGAGACAGCATCTCCCTGTAGCCCCAGCTGTCCTGGAACTCACTATGCAGACCAGGCTGGCCTCGAACTCACTGAGATCTGCCTACCTCTGCCTCCGAGCGCTGGGATTAAAGGCGTGCGTCACCACGCCCTGCTGATTTTAATTTTTAAATGCAAGGATATATGGAGTTCTTGAAATATATTGAGAAATTAGGATTTTAAACAAGGAAAAAAGACCTCAAGGAGAAGGTGGTGCTACTACGGTATCTGATATTACTGCTACTACTTTACTTGACGATAACCAATAAGTCAGGAGAAGCCTCCTGCAAATGGGCCCATCAAATAATACTACACTACTGAGATTCCAACTTAGCTGCATATGAACCAACCAGATGTCTCTTATTTCTGAAAACCATATACGTGTTACTAAAAGTCATATGTGATAGCATTAAATTTGAAACTCATCTGGGGGAGTAGAGGCCATAAACCAATTTTAAATTACTTTAAATTTCAAATTACCTTAGAAAAAAATTTTTTTTTTCTTAATGTGTATGAGTGTATTGCCTGCATGTATATGAGTGTACCCATGTCGTGCAATGCCGTGGAGGTCAGAAGAGGGCTTCGGATTCCCCTGGAACTGGAGTTAAGGACAGTTCGTAGCTACCATGTGGGTGCTAGGAATCAGATCCAGGTCCTCTGCAAGAGCAGCCAATGCTCTTAACCGCTGAGCCATCTCTCTAGCCCCACTTTAGAAATTTTAAATTACTTTAGAAACAGTGAGTAGACCTGGATCTCAACTGGCCCTCACGCAGTCCTTCATTGGCAATCTGTTTATTTACTACATCTCACTTGGCATTCACATTCAGCACTTCTCTTATCAATGAACTACTCAAACATACTTCAGAGTTTCCAAATCAGCATTATACACACAAGTATTTTCTTTCTTTTTTTGAGACAGGGTCTCCCTGTAGCCCCAGCTGGCCCAGAACTCACTATGTAGACCAGGCTGGCCTTGGACTCACAGAGATCCACCTGCCTCTGCCTCCTGAGTGCTGCTGGGATTAAAGGCATGCACCACCATGCCCAGCTTTTTTTAGTATTTAATTTATTTTTATTTTATGTGTATGAGTGTTCTGCCCGCATGTATGCAAGAGCACCTGTGTCGTGCAACCCCACGGAAGCCAGAATAGGGCGTCAGATCCCCTGGAACTGGAGTGATAGATGGTTGTTAGCTGCCATGTGGGTGCTGGGAATCAAACCCCAGTCCTCTGCAAGAGCAGTCAGTTCTCTTTTAACTGCTGAGTCATCTCTCCAACCCCAAACACAAGCATTTTCAATCCTATAACAGATTTAAAAACTCTTAAGATCAGCTAGTTACCTACTATCATATTAGCAAAGAATAGACCTTTGAAATGATCATTATAACAAACATACTATTAAGTGGTTTTTGAGATTCTTCACTTTCTGTCCCCTCTCTTCCTGAATCTTCTGTCTTCCTGTTTACTGCCTTTGTTGGTCTCTTGTCCTCTTCACTTTCACTATCTGCTGTATAAAGACTCCGATCTGCAAAGGGTTGTCTTTCATCTCTGTACCATGGAGGAAAAATAATAAGTCAGAAGTAGTGTAAAGTTCTGTTACTCCCTTCCCCTCCATTTAGACCCAGTAGAGAGTTGAGACCCTTTCTTTATAACATAACTGGCTATGCAATAATGTGGACTAGAGATTATATGAAGGGAAAGGGTAACCACTAGAAATTATTGATACTTTGATCTATTTTACATACTTAATTATTCTTCCATTTGTCAGGAGTAATCGCAGATCATTGTCTTTTGCTCTCCATTCAGGTACCGTGGAAGATGGCTGGAGATGTTTGTTGAATTTTCCATTCAGTTTAGAGCTCAAGATGTCCTTAAAGTATAAAAACAGAACTGACTTAACCTCCACTTTCAGGCATGCCTGCTCAACCAAAGACTGCATAATGTCCCTCCTTCCATGGCCCTGCCTTGCAGAGGGATGGGCAACCATCTAAGCTTGGGGATAACTCAGTAGTCCCACACTCAAGTGTTCTTCATTCTAAAGCATAAGAATGGCTCATCTTCCCACAGGACCATTAGCAATAAAATACATTTTCTAATGTAGAATGCAAAATCTGCATAAAGCAAATCCAAACACAGGTCATTCTCTCAAAAGCTGAAGAGCTAGGCAGTTTCATTTTCCTCTGCTGTTTCTTCCTGTTGAAGTCCAGTTGTGGGGCCTTTCTACTCACCCTAACCTTGATGCCATGCCTTCCCACCAGGCACTGTCAGCTGCCACTAGTGACAGAAAGAAACAATGGCAGCTGTTTTGTTTTTTTTCAGTCTTTTTGAGACAGGGTCTCCCTGTAGCCCCAGCTGTCCTGGAACTCACTATGTAGACCAGACTGGCCTTGAACTCACAGAGATCCGCCTGCCTCTGCCTCCCAAGTGCTGGGACTAAAGGCGTGTGCCACCACACCCAGCTACAGCTGTTTTTTTAAATGTATAAAAGATTTCCTGCCAGGCAGGAGGCAGAGGCAAGCTATTGAGTGCCAGGCCAGCTGGGGCTACAACTGTCTCAAAAAGGCCAAAAAAAAAAAAAAATCCTTTTAATGAGACAAATTTTCCTCTAATAAATAGAACATTCACAATACTCTTCCCAAGACAGCAATGGGTTAAATAGATTTAGAACCAAATAAGCTTAAATAAACATATCAAATTTAAAATATGTAAAGTTCTTTCTTCCTTTTTTTTTGGTCTTTTTAAAGCAGGGTCTCCCTGTAGCCCCAGCTGTCCTGGAACTCACTATGTAGAGCAGGCTGGCCTTTAATTCACAAAGATCCGCCTGCCTCTGCCTCCCAAGTGCTGGGACTTACAGGCGTGTGCCACCACACCCGGCTAAAATGTGTAAAGTTGTAATGACTAAATAAGCTCCTATTTTAAGCCAGAAACACCTTTATTTCACTCATTTTTCTTTTTTAAAAAAATTATATTTATTTTTATTTTATGCGTATGCGTGTATTGCCTGCATGTAGGTAAGTGTACCCGTGTCGTGCTATGCCCGCAGAGGTCAGAAGAGGCTGTTGGATCCCCTGGGACTGGAGTTACAGACAGTTGTTAGCTGCCATGTGGGTGCTGGGATTCGAACCTGGGTCTTCTGCAAGAACAACCAGTGTTCTTAACCGCTGAGTCATCTCTCCAGTCCCTCATTTTTCTATTACTGTCTATCCTCTAGTTAAGATGTAAAAACATGGATTAGGCAAATCCTATCACAAACTCATTAGCATGTTTTATAAAGGTGCTACTGCCTCACTGTCTCCTCCCTCTGTCCAGTACACCAGGACTTCTCCAACTTAAATGGACTCTGTCTACCAGTCAGAATTGTGCTTTCTTGGTTCAAGGACAGGCTTTCTACATTTGCTTTCCTTGGTCTGCAATACTAATTTGAAGCTGCGTTGTCATCTGACTTCTTTATTTAAGTACCAATTCAAACATCAATACCCCTAAAGGCAGTCTGATCACCTTGGCTAAAGCAACCAGTCACTCCACCTCCCTAGTGCCCTACTATTTCAGCCTCCATCAAAACACTTAGCAGCTGAAGTTATATATATTTTGTTGTTGCTGCTGTTGTTTGAGAACGGTTCTCACTGTATATCTCAGGTTGGCCTCAAACTTGCAGCAAGTCCCTCGCCTCAGACTCCCAAGCACTGGGATTATAGGCATGTGCCACCATGCCCAAGTTTGAAATTATATTGTTTTGAACTATGTCCCCATTTCCAACTTGAACTTTGATAAAAAGCTTCATGAGGACAGAGACTCGAGTTTGCTTGCTTTGGCATGTTCCTCAGGGCCCAGAAGAGTTCGTTACACTTCATAAACATTCAAGAAACATGCTAGCAAATGAATGAAATATAGCCATCTTAACACCACACTGACTGGTTCCATGATCTGCCAAAGACAAAAGTATTAGTAAACTTCTATAAATCTAGAGTAAAAACCAGTTAACAACAGTCAGACTGTTAAATTTACTATCTTTTAAAGAACTTTCATTTTCTGATCCTAATGTATGATACTTGCCTCTTCCCATGGACACATCTCTAATCTTTTGAGGACCTCCCTTGTATGGAGCTCGAGGATGTCTAGGTTAGAAGGAGTTCGGACATTATGATCTCGAAGTTTCCTCATCTTTCGCCGGGAATGGTATGGGGAAGTTGCTTCATTTGAGGTTCGTGAAACTGGACACACAGTAGGAATTCCCTGAGATTTTACTGGTTTGCCATTTTCTTCCTTTAAGAATCAAGGTCAAAATGTTTTATGACAAGTCTACTATACACATACCTGACAAAAACAATCCATAAAAATGTTTTTAAAAACAAGAACCGTTCTATTTAACCATTTAAAAGATAAAGACTAAATCAAAGTCTCATCTTTCCTTTATTCCCTCTCCTCAATATACTACATGAACACATTTCCTTGATTTATTTTGAAGAGTTGGGTTTTTTTTGAGGCAGAATCTCTCTATGTAGCCCAGGCTGGCATCAAACTCATGGTCCTTCTGCCTTAGCTTCCCAAGTGCATGCACCATCATGCCTAGCTTATCATCTTAAATATTAATATTAAATTAGAATTGACATTTTCAGAAATAATAATCCTGTTTATTCAACTATTATTTTTATTTTCCTTGAATTTATTGTGTTGGTTGTTACTGTACATAAGACATATATGCAATTATGTTATATATAGCATAGCATGTGCTATATATTTTATATATTTACATATATTTGAGAGTATACCTTTGATAGTAAATCCATTTACATGCAATTACTATCACTCTTTAAAATATTTTTACTATATCTGAAAAAGGCATGAAATATTCTATCTATGGATATTAAATCTAGCATTTTAATATTTCTTAGGGGGTTGGATATTTAACTCAGTGGTAGGACACTTGCCTAGCAAGTTGCCCTGAGTTCAGTCCTAGTGCTATTGGTGCGGGGGCATACTTCTTAAATATGTACCTCTTTCCACTCTATAAACACAGTCCTAATGTAAGAAATTAAATTACCAGTTGGCTGCCACTTCTCCACTGATTTTCCTCTTAATTACACACTAATCAAGCCACTGTCCCAATGAAAATGAAAATCCCCTTCTTCAATACCAACAACAGGTCCTAATTAGTAAGTTAAAACACCTAGTCACAGGTTTTTATCAAAGGCATTTACTTGCCAGCTGCTCCAGTATTTTCAGTCAAAGGGACTGATCTAATATTCTTCTTTCCAACCCAACTTCACTTAGCTTTATTCACCTGCTTTTTTTCCTCTTTCTCTAATTACTTAACATGCATTCATCTCTAGGTAACCAAAATTAAATGGATGTAAACATATTAGGACTTTTGGAGGAACTAGAGATCTCAAAGTAACTGATATCTGCTTAATATTTCATTATGATATAATATTCTAAATTTCTCTTTAAGACATTATAAGCCTGAAACTTTAAAACTTGTCTAAGATCAGCTCATTACATTCCTTCAAGTGTGTAAGTGCTTTCATATACCTATGGCATGGTGGTAGATCCATTTGCTTCTCAAGACAGAAGGCAAGCAGACACTTACACGATCATTTCTACTCTTACCTCAATTGCTCGAATTACTTTAGAAAGTTCCTTAATAAGATGTCCAGGTCTAACATTGTCTGGAATTTCAAAGGCATGTTCAGACACGAGCTATATTTGGACAAAGACAAGAAAACCAAAGTTACTCAACTTATTTCATGGTGAACCTTGTCTTTATATTGCACTCTATACCTCAAATTCTACTGTAATTCTAACTGTAACTACAATAAGGAAATTAAGCCTAACATTTAATTCATAATAAAGAATTTTGTAAGGAACACCAGTACTAAGTAACCCTAGTTTTTCATGGGAAGTCTAATTTGAATAAATGTAGGTTAAAAAATTTAATAGTCAAAAGCAAAATAAGAAAGATATCATTAATAGGACCAAGAAATGAACTGGTAAGTTATTCTATTGAACTGAAAACTAATGCCTCTGTTTTTACGTCTATTTCCAAACATTAATCAGGGGCTGGAGAGATGGTTCAGTGGTTAAGAGCACTGGCTGCTCATGCAGAGGACCTGGGCTCAGTTCCTAGAACCTACATGGTGGCTAACACCTGTCCTTAACTCTAGTTTCAGGGGATCCCATACCTTCTTCTGGCCTCCGCAGACACCAGGCACTCATGTGGTGCATTTACATGCAGGTAAAACACTCATACACATACAATAAAAATAAAATCTTTTAAAAAGGTAGGTAAGTAAAACCAAATATTAATTACCGTTAACATAATTTTAGACACATTATACTAGTTTCTATTTTTGCTTTATAATCTTGACTTGGTTTTAGCATAACTTGTTAAATTAATAACAATAGTAATATTATCGGTGCTAACTATGTTCTGATAATGCTAAGTACACTTTGTAAGCATTAACTCATTTAATCCCTTCAATATCATTATGATATAGATACTTCAGGATGAATATCTCTCGAGTGAAATGCTTGGGACCAGAGAAGTGTTTTGGATTTTGGAGCACTTCAGTTTTCAGGTACTCAACCTTTTTACAGGTTATGATTATTCTCATATTACAGTGAAAAGAACTAAGGCACTGAAGTTAGGTTAATATATTCAGAATGACACAATTTACCAGTAGTAGAGGTAAGATTTGATTCTACCACATAAAAAACAGTAACAGTAACAACTTACTTCCTTTTTCATCCATAATTTTAAAGCAGTATGCAGTGCTTTCACTCCTTGTACTAGGTAAGTTTGGGGCTGGAAACCATCTTCTTTCAGTTCTGTAGGAATGAAATAAGGTCCAAAATAGGAATTAAGGTGTTCTGAAGTTTATAAAAGGATTAACTCTAGGTTTTGAGTGAACATCAAATATCAAACTGAACAATCCCAAAATTAGTAAAAAAGAAAAATGGGATACAATATAATCAATTCAAAAGGCAAGAAAGAAAAACAAAAAGAACTATTCAATGTAATGATACTAAGGATCTCAAGCTTTGAAAAGAAGTTAGGGTGCCTGTACTAAATACTGTCATTAATAAAACATCATTACATCATGTTCAATATTTCAATTCACTTAAAAAAATTGCACAATAACAAAGCCTGAAATACAGAAAACAATCATATAAAACTTCAAAATACAGTAAGCCATTTCACCATCTCAGTGGAAGATTTTAACCAAAAATAGTGAAAAAACAGAGTGGACTGAAAAAAACAAACAGGTAGAAATACAATCTAATATAAAACTTGATTCAGGTCAGGCATGTTAGTGTATACATTTTATCTTAGCACTTGGGAAGCAGAGACAGGTCAGCCTGGTCTACTCAGCCAGCCAGGATGATATAATAAGACCCTATCTCAACAAAATAAAATAATACAATGCAAAACAAACAAAAAGAGTGGGAAAAAATAAATACCCACAAAACCAAAAGATTTGATTCAACAGTCATAAGGATACTGTATTTGGCAACTGCAAAATATACGTTCTTTTCAAACATACACAGCACATTTACAAAAACCATCCATCTCAGGACCATGAAGTCTCAATGTATTTCGAATGATCTGAATCACCTATATAATCAAAATGCAATTAAATCACATACTACTAAATGACAGATTTTTTTCTTTTTTTAAAAGTACTGGTGCGGGGCGTGGTGGCGCATGCCTTTAATCTCAGTACTCAGGAGGATCTTTGTGAGTTCGAGGCCAGCGTGGTCTCCATTGTGAATCCAGGACAGCTGGGACTACAGGGAGACCCTGTCTCAACAAAGACCAAAAAAAAAAAAAAAAAAAAAAAAAACATATGTTCTCGGTTCAACATTAAGATTAAAAGCACTTGCTGCTCTTGCAAAAGACTGGAGCTCATTTTCCAGCACCTACATCTAGTGGCTCATAACTAACCACCAATAACTCAGCTTCTGGGAACCCTTTGCCCTCTTCTGGATTTCAAAGGCACCAGCACATACATGTACCTACTCACACACATACACTTAAATAAAATCTTTTAAAATTTAAAGGAAAAAAAAAAAAAGCCAGCCATGGTGGCGCATGCCTTTAGTCCCAGCACTTAGGAGGGAGAGGCAGGCAGATCTTTGTGAGTTCAAGGCCAGCCTAGTCTATACAAATGGGTTCAGGCCAGCTGGGGCTACAGAGACCAGAAAAAAGACAAACAGGCACAGGTGGATCTCTGTGAGTTCCAGGTCATCCTGATCTAGATAGCTAATTCCAGGTCAGTTAGGTTACTTAGTGAGACCGTGTATCAAAAAACAAACTACTGGGGTCTACAGCACTGGCTGTTCTTGAAGAGGACCCAGGTTCAGTTCCCAGCACCCACATGGCGGCCAACAACTTTCTCTAACTCCAGTTCCAGGTTCTGATGCCTTCTGGCCTCTGTAGGCATTGCACAATACAAATGCACTTACATACCTACAGAAAAAACACTCATACAGATAAAATAAAAATAAAAGTTTAAAACAAAAACATATTTTATAAAAATGTGTGGTATTGGGCCAGTGAGATGGTTCAATGGGTAGAAACTGCCTTGCCATCACACCTAATGACCTCAGTTTGACTGCTAGGACATACATGATGAAAGGAGAGATCTCCACTAGTGTGGTGGTACATGTATGTGTGGGGGAGGTGCACACATACACACAATAAGTAAGATTCAATAAAAAACAAAAATGTGTTCAGCTGGACAGATGGTTCAGCAGTTAAGAGCACTGGCTGCTCTTGTAGAGGACCCAGGGTCAGTTCCCAGGACCCACATGGCCACTAACAACCGTCCATAACTCTAGTTTCTAGGGGATCTGACACTCTTTTCTGAACTCCATGTGCACTGTACGACACAGGTTCCCTTACACATATTCAAGCAATCTACCCATACACATAAAATAAAAATAAGTTAAAAAACCAAAAATAATTCTAAAAAAAAAAAAAAACACACCCAAAAATGTGTGGCATACTATACCAAGGGTAATGTATAGCTTTAAATGCTTGTGTTGAAGTAAACAATAGTGAAACATTTAAAAATGGCCAGGCATGGTAGCTCACATCTGTAATCCCAGCACTTCTGAGGTTGAGACAGAAGAATCACGAGTTAGAGGCCAACCTGGGTTACAGACTGAATTCCATGTCTACAGAAGACAAGAGAGGAAAAGGGAAAGGAGAGGCACACATGGCCAGTGAGAAATGAGACATCATTACAAATATGAGAGAATGACATGAATAACTTTATGCCAACCAATGTAAAACTTAGAAATGTGTCCATTTCTAAAAGTCAACCATCCAAACACACTCAAAAGTACTAGAAAGCCTTAACAGTCCCTCCTTCACTAAAAATACCGACTCAGCAGTCAGAAATTTCCCCACCAAGAAAACTATAAATCCAGATGTTTTTCATCAAAGAGTTCTATCAATCATTCAAGAATCTTTCAGGTGTGACAGATTGCTCAGTGGTAAAGAGCACTGGATGCTCTTCCAGAGAATGTGAGTTCGGTTCCCAATACCCACGTGGTAGCTAACAACCATGCAAAACTCCAGTTCCAGGAGGCCTTGATGCCCTCTTCTGACCTCCACAGGCACTGCACACATGGGTGCACTTACATACACGCAGAGAAAACACTCATACACATAAAATTAAACAATTTTCAAATTTTAAAAAAATTTAATTATTTTTATGTATGTAAGTGTATTGCCTGCATGTATATAACTGCACCTATACCATGCAAAGCCCATGGAGGTTGGAAGAAGCCATCGGATCCTCTTGGAACTGAAGTTACAGACAACTGTTAGCCACCATGTAGGTGCTGGGAATTGAACTCGAGAGTCTTCTGCAAGAACAGCCAGTGCTCTTAACCACTGAGCCATCTCTCCAGCCCCTAAATAAAAAAAAATTTTTAATTAAAAAACAAAAAAATCATTCCAACCACAGAACTTCCTCCAGATATAAGGAAAAGAAGAAATAGCAATTTTTCCTAAGGTTGGTACTATTTCTACTCCTAAACCTAACAAAGACTAGTGGCTCACATCTTTAATCCCAGCCCTCCCTCCCTCCCCTTCCTTCTTCTTCCTTCCTTCTTTTGGAGGGGCTGTGTGCCTACCACTGTGAGTATGCAAGGTCAGAAGACAACTTTCAGGAGTCAGTTTTCTCCTTCCTCCATGTGGCTCCTGGGGTAAAGTCAGGTCTTCAGGCTTGGCACCAAGTGTCTTTAACCCACTGAGCCATTTCTCTGGCCTGCCACCTTATTTTCTGAGGCAGGGTCTCTCATTGAACCTGGAGCTCACTGACTGGACAAGACTAACTAGTTGGCCAGTCAATTTCAAGAATCCCCTTGTCTTCACCTTCCCAATGCCACTACAGCTGACTTTTTATATGGGTTCCAGGGATCCAAACTCAGGTTCTTACACTTGTGACACAAGTATTTTACTGAGCCATCTCCCCAGCACCCTCCACTGATTTTTTTAAAAGAAATAAAGAAAAAAATCATAATCTTTTAGTTAAATCAGAGAAGAACATCTTAAACCTGAAAAAGTAGTCAATAAAAAGCAATCCTAATACTATAAATGCTATAAGGCTGAAAATTTTCCTTTTCTGATTGGGAAGAAGATAAAGTTGCCTACCTTTCCTGTTCCTAGTTACCATTGTACCCCAAGGCCTTCCAACACAGTAAAGAAAGAAAATTAAAGAAATATAAATACTAGAAAAAAACAAAACTGTCATTAATCATAGATGTGATTTATATTAAGGAACCCAAAATACCTCCTTAGATAAATTATTAATAATCTTTAACGAGATTACTGAATACAAAATCAGTATAAAAATTAACTGTTTCTGGGGCTGGAGAGATGGCTCAGCGGTTAAGAGCACTGATTGCTCTTGCAGAGGACCCAGGTTCAATTCCCAGCACCTACATGGTGGCTACAAACCATCCTTAACTCCAGTTCCAAAGGAATCCGAAGCACTCTTCTGACCTCCGCGGCATTGCATGACATGGGTATACTCACATACATGCAGGCAACACACTCATACACATAAAATAAAAATAATGAAGCATTTTTTAAAAAAATTAACTGTTTCTGGGGCTGGAGAGATGGCACAGTGGTTAAGAACACTGTACTTGCAAAAGACCTGGGTTTGAATCCCAGCACCCACATGGCAGCTAACAACTGTCCTTAACTCCAGTTCCAGGGGATCCAACAGCCTCGACAGCCCCTTCTGTCCTCTGTGGGCATTGTATGACACGGGTGCACTCACATACACGCAGGCAATATACTCATACACACAAAATAAAATAAAATTAAAAAAAAAAAAACTTTCTATAGTCTACCACCACATGGTTATTAGTTTGAACCATATAAAATTGCCAATATTTCACCATTTGAAATATAAAGGCAGCAATTTCATATAGTTCTACCATGGTAATAACTACATATAGTGGCATATGCTATTTATCACAGCACTAAAACAAATACCTAGTAATTAAGCTATTGAGATATATATGCAAGATTTTTACAAAACTTCAAAAGATAGTAAAGATACAGGCATATGCTCCACAATCATCCTTTACAAAACAGTAATAAATGGCAGACTATATTTAATCACTATGATTACCAAGTTTCCTATATTGATCTGATTGTTAAACATATTAAAATAGCATATAAATAACCTTTTTTTTTTTTTTAAATAACCTTTTACAGAATCTTTTTCTTTTTTGTCTTTTTGAGACAGGGTCTCCCTATAGCCCCAGCTGTCCTGAAACTATGTAGGCCAGGCTGGCCTCGAACTCACAAAGATCCGCCTCCCTCTGCCTCCCAAGTGCTGGGATTAAAGGCATGCACCACCATGCCCAGCTAGAATCTTTATTTTAAAATCTGTAATATATAGGGCCATGTTTATTAGGACAAATAACTAGTCATTTCTAAGACTAAGCAAATCAGTGTTGCAATTTAATGAATAACAAGATTTCACCTTTTGAGTAAACTCCTAATTTGTTCTAATAAATTCATGACATGAACCTGCCTTAAGGGAAAAGGTGTGTGAATGTGTGTGTAAAAGAGAGGGAGGGGTGAAGGAAGAGAGAGATGGAAAGACAGAGACAGAATAAATATGAATTTGTAGAGTTTCACCTAGCTAACCAGATAATAGGAACTTGGAGTCCTACATCAGAGTAAGAGAAAAGATGGAAAAGAGCTCAGGGTAGACTGTAATCTTAACCAGAGGGTTCAGGAACTGGACTTCATTTCCAAAAAGCAAAGACATTTATAAATATTTCATAAGTGTATACAACACATATGTTCTTGACTTGAACTTGGAGACTATGAACTTCTTTCACTGTTCAGTGAAACTGGACATGCTGCAGACAGCAACTCTATAGTCCATGTCATTCCTGCAGCTACCAACAGTACCTGATTGAATCAGGGATTCACATTAAGGACTCATTTCTGGAGCACAGGTTGGTCTTCCTCATTCAGGGTACTCTACGTATCACACACACACTCATAGAACTGTCGCAACACCTCCACTGACACTGTACTGCAAAGATCCATTAGTCTTCTACACAGGCAAGGAGACTTTTATTTAAAAAAAAAAAAGTTGAGGCAGGGTAACATACGCCACAGCATGTATGTAGAGGTCAGAAGACAACTTTGTGGAACTGATTTTCCCCTTTCAGTCCTACCTGGGTTATGAGACTCAAACTCAGAAGTCAGACTTGCACAGCAAGCACCCTGCCCACTGAGCTGTCTTGCCACCATACTTCTTTTTTATTTTGAGGAAAAAATCCCCAGAATTTTACCATTATTCGTTCTGTATATGCTATCCTAGAAGTAAACTTTTGGTTGTTTCTGTTTTTCATTTCACTGTTTCTTTTTATATAACTTTTAAATGAAAAAAAGAAATGAATGTCTCAATAACTTTAGTGTATAGTCTGTCTAGGTCTGTTATGAAAGTTAATTGTAACAGTATCACCATTTGGAGCTGAAGAGATGGCTCAGAGGACCTGGGTTCAGTTCCCAACACCCACATGGCAGCTCACAAATGTCTGGAACTCCAGTTCAAGTGGAATCTGATGACCTATTCTGGCCTCTGTGGGCACCAGGGACACATGTGGTATACATAATAAACGGAGGCAAACACTAATACACATAAAATAAAAATAAATTCTTTTTAAAAAAAGTATTGCTGGGCATGTTGGTGCATGCCTTTGATCCCAGCACTTGGGAGGCAAAGACAGGCAGAGATCTGTGAGTTCAAGTGGCCTTCAACTGGTCTACATAGTGAGTTCCAGGCCAGCTGGGGCTACAAGGAGACCCTGTCTCAAAAAAGACACCCCCCTACACATACAAAAAAATAGTATCTTCATTTTCAAATTGCTTAGAAAAGTAAATTATGTTCCCACTAGCACAAGAGCATGGAAAGCAGAAAACGGATAAAAGCAGAAGTAGCATTCAATCTCCAATTCCTGCCCAAAGATAAAGTCAAAATACAAAAATAGCAAAAAACAAACAAACAAAAAACTTCAAGCCTAAATATAAAGGAAATTTTATTTAAATTATATTTATTCATTTATTTTTATGTGTTCTGCCTGCATGTATCATGTCCACAGAGGCCAGAAGAGGGCACTGGATTCCCTGAAGCTTTTATTTTTATGTGTATGAATGTTTTTCTCACAGGTATGTAAGTGCATTCATGTTGTACAATGGCTACAGAGGCCAGAAAGCATCAGAATCCCTGTAACTGGAGTTATAGACCGCTGTTAGCCACCATGTAGGTGCTGGGAATTAAACCCAGGTCGACTGCAAGAGCAGGCAGTGCTCTTAACTGCCGAGTCATCTCTCCAGCCCCATAAAGGGAATTAAAAAAAAAAAATGTGTTTTGCATGTGGTAGTAAGGTTAAACCTAGGAGGCTCATGCCTGCTACCACTGAGCTATATTATTCCCAATCTTCTTTTGACTTTGGATTTTGAGATATAGTCTAACCAAGTTGTTCAGGCTGGTCTTGAACTTCTAATTCTGCCTTAATCTCTCAAAGAGCTAAATGTAATTACAGGCCTGTACCACCAGGCCCCAGTTAAAGACCTATTTTTTCCTTCAACTACAGTAGAAGCAACTGTTGGTTGATATGCTAACAGGTGAATTAAACCAGTGAGCAAAATGGTTACAATGGCAATTGATGACACAAGCATTCGATTGTCTTAGGACAAGAAAATGATTCCCTTAATTTTTTTTTTTTTTTTCTTTTTGAAACAGGGTGCTCCAGTAGCCCCAGCTGGCCTGGAACTCACTATGTAGACCAGGCTGGCCTGGAACTCACAGAGATCCGCCTGCCTCTGCTGGGACTAAAGGCGTGTGCCACCATGCCCAGCTATGTTAGGTAATAGTCTCCTGACACAAACTACATTTTTGAGAGCAAGACACACATGTGTACAAGGTACTAGCCCGCTAAATGAAATGATGATTTCCCAGTATTACATATATAGGTCTTCATATACCTGACTTCTAGGTATGAAGTTAGGGGCTTATATACTAGAGACTCTTAAAAAGATTCTTAGCAGCAGGAGGGAAAAGAGCAAACTTTAAAAGGAGAGCAGATGGTGTCTAGCGAAGAGTCTCTGTCAGGTAGCTTTAAAGGAATTTGAAAGTATTATGCATCTTATTGTACAACAAAAGGTACAAACCATTAATTACCTTTCAGGGTTTCCAGCAAATTTTTGGCTACAAACCAGCATATGGCTTCAAAGAAAGGGAATTTGAAAAGATCTGGTGTTTTTAGCCTTTTCTCCATCTCATAACACCTTAATGAATAAAATTTAAAGAAATATTTAATATTAATATTAGCATTCAAAAGTTAAATGCCGGTAACCAACTTGAAAATAAGACTATATATTACTTAACACCACTTTTTAAAATTTTATTTTTATTATTACTATTTTCGGGGGGTCTTTTTGAGACAGGATCTCTCTGTAGCCCCAACTGGCCTGGATTCACTATGGAGACCAGGCTGGCCTTGAACTCACAGAGATCCAATCCACCTGCCTCTGCCTCCCAAGAGTTAGGATTAAAGGCGTGTGCCACCACGCCCAGCCTATTATTTTAATTATGTCTTTGAGGGGGCATTTTGCACTTGAGTTCAGGAACCCTCAGAGTCCAGGGGCAATAAGATCCCCTGGAGCCAGAGTTAAAGACAGCTATGAGCTACTCGATGTAGATGCTAGAAAATGAATTTAGGTCCACTGTGAGTGCAGTTAGTGCTTGTAACCACTAACGTCATCTCTGCAGCCCACAACACCACTTTTTTACAACACTGAATTGTGATCTTATCCAGGTTCTGACCTTAATAAATTTGCCAGAGTAATTAAGAATTACACTGGGTACTGTCAAAGATCACAACTTGGGATTTGTATCCTTGTTTTTGAAAAAGGGATTTTTATGAAGGTTCCACTAATGAGTAAACAGTATGTTTAAAAATTAGCTCTATGTGTTGGACAACACTGTAACATCCATCCAAGTTTTCTTTAGGCTTTGCCAAGCACTAAAGAGCAAGACCACATTTGGCACTAGTCAAGGTGTAAAGACAGGGTCAGTCAGCCACAATGCTAGTATTCTCTCAGAAACCTAGCAGCAGTCCAGGTAGCAGAAGCCAGCTCATCCTCAGAGACAGATGAGGTACAAAAAGACAAAACCTGCACTTGGTAGCTATAAGATCTACATGGCTTAAAGCCTCATGCTCTAAAAGAGCTACTATCCCATTTGCCAGCTTTGCAAAAGCAGAGCATCTAGGGTTCCCCACAAGCACAAATAGTTTTAAGAATCACCACATTCAGGGAACCTCAACAGGGAGTTCTAATTTTCTGTCTCATTGTCTACCAGGAAACATTTTTACCATGAGCAACATGGCTAATAACATTATACTCTCTCTAGAAACAGTAAAGGAACAGAGTTAACATGAAGGTCAAATCTCATCAGAAGGAGAAATAACTGCTCAGCTTTTACCTGCATCAAAATTAAAGCAGGCATTTTGATAGCAATCCTGACTTAAGGGTTGCTTTGTTCCAGCATCATAGGTCACATGCAAGCAAAACTGATCAATTTAGTTCCACAATGCTACTTTACAGCCAAAAGAAAGCATACACATTTTTATAAAATTTTGAAATGTAGAAAGGTACAAAGTTATCATTTTTGTTTTGAATTTCAAAGTATCCTTCAAATAAAAATTTTTTTTTCGGTCTTTTTGAGACAGGGTCTCTCTGTAGGCCAGCCATTCTGGAACTCACTATGTAGACCAGGCTGGCCTTGAACTCACAGAGATCTGCTTGCCCCTGCCTCAGTGCTGGGACTAAAGGCATATGCCACCACATCTGGCCAAATAAAATTTTTTAAATACTTTTATAAAAAAGTATTTTACTGGGAACTGGAGATTTGACTTGGCAATTAAGAGTATTTGCTATTCTTCCCGAAGATTCAGGTTTGGTTCCTGGCACCTACATGGAAGCTAACAACCTATGTAACTCCAGTTCCTGGGGATCTGATGCCTTCTTCTGTTCACTGCATGCATTGCGTACACATGGTGCACTTAAAAATACAGGCAGGCAAAATACACATATACACAGAATAAAAAAAAAATTTAAGTTCCTATTTCTAATAATTTCTCAAGTCCTATCTCTAGATGATCTCAAATGAAATGTAATTTTTTAAATAAAACAAAACATCCTACTTAATAAAGTACAAAAATAAGATCCTTTCAATATTGATGATACAAACCTGAGCTGCATGCCAATGTTAAGGTTATGCAGAAAGTTCCCCCCAAAAGCCATACAGTCCTGAGAAGTGAGCACAGCATGAATCCACCCTGAAATGGTTAAAAATATATAAATCAGTGATCTTTCAATCTCTAAACCAAAGAGATGCTATCTACCTACGAAATAAGTAACTCAAATAACAACATGAGTTTACTGCATAGTCTAGTGCTAAAGAAGTTAGTATTTGTTACAATTAACTCAATTCAATATTTATTAAATGCCTACAATATGCTAGACTTTATGCTGAGCGAAGGTTTGTAGTGGTGGCTATTATTGTTTTTCAGTTTAAAAACATAATCTACCTTTACAATTAAAGATTTTACTCTGACACCAGTCAAATCTGGTTTGCATTAGGCAAGTACATTTCCATTAGTTAACATAAGATTGGCTGAACAATCTGCTTCCCCAGGCCACCATGAATTAAATACCCTGAAGGGAATAAGCAGAGAAGGATCAAGGAACTCAATGACACCCAACTCCCTAAGAAAAAAAGGGCAGTTAACTCACTTTTAAATGGGTGGGCCACAGTCCTATAAACATTAAATTTTGGCAATAAAATGATGTTTTATTTCCCAATAAAGTCTTTTCAAATGAGAATCATTTCTAACAGATGATGCCTAATTTTTTAAAGAAATGTTGGCAGACAAAATAAATCCATTATAAAAACATATATTCTGCTGGGCATTCATACAGATGACAAAGTTTGTTCAATAATGATTAAGACTAGAAACTACAATTTTTTGTTCTTTTTGAGACAGAGTCACCCCGTAGCCCCAGTTTGCCTGGAACTCTCTATGTAGACCAGGCTGGCCTTGAACTCAGAGATCCAACTGCCTCTGCTGGGATTAAAGGTGTGCACCACCACCTCTGGCTCTAGAATTCCATTATTAAACAATGTATTTATGCATGGTTTGAGCACAATTTCCAGGAATATAACTACTCTGTAAATTAAAGGAAGCCACAGTTTGTTAAGAAAGTTTGTCAGTTGACAACCACCTTAGGAGGGCAAAAAAAAAAAAAAAAAAAAAATCATTGCCTACAGCACTGACTGTCCAAACGTAGCCCTTAAATTAACACTATCAGTCAGCAACTAGTTGTTATAAACAGAAACTCTCTGACCTGCCCCAAATCTATGAATGAAAACTTTGGGAATGAGACCCAGACATCTGTGGTTTAACAGGCCCTGGTGATCCTGATGTTCCATGAAGCTGGAGAACCCCTAACATACACCAATGTAGTTAAACAGTTCATTCTCTCCTCAAATATTGCTGTGAATATAGGCACACAGAGAAATAGCATTTCTTCATGAATTACCTTTTAACTTCTTCTGTACACTTCAGTAGATATATGTGAATTTTTTTTTAACTGTCTAGGTGTGGTGGTGCATACTATAATCCAGCACTTGGGAAGCAGAGACAGGTAGAATGCGAGGCCAGCTTGGTCTATATAGTGAGTTCTAGGCCAGTCAGGACTATAAACTGAGACCCTGTCTCAAAAATAGTAATAATAATAGCAACTTATGTAGGATGTTCTACTATCTGTGAATTTCATTTCAAGACTTTGAAGAGAGTATAACAGCAAAAATTAATGACCAGTAGCTCTAGGAGAAAATTTAAAGGTAGCTATGAAAAAGAGAGACATAGCTGAACATGCCTGGGAGGCAGAGGCAGGCCAGCCTGGTCTACACAGCAAGTTTCAGTACAGCTGGAGCTATAGAAGATCTTGTCTCAAAACAAACCAAAACAACAAAACAAAACAAAAAGAAAAGCAAGACATAAATTCAAATAGTTCCAGGTACTTATTCATGAACTTATTCAAGCATACATTTATTATTCTATATATCACAGATAAGGGAGAAAGCAGGGCCTGTAGTAACCACAGAGCCCTGTTAGCTCTACAGCCATTAGGTCATTCAAACCAGAATACCCATTCTCAAACTGGCCTGGAAAATCTACGCTGTGTTTGTTCACTCACATAGTCAGCCAACATACTAATTCTTATACTTGAGGTACATGGTATAGAGAAGTTTGGTAGTTCCTCAAAGAGTTAGGCATAGTTAAATTTGCAACATAGCAATTCTACTACTACATACCCCAGGGAAATGGAAACATTTTACATAAAAACTTGTACATGACTGTTCAAAAGAGCACTATTTGTAAAACTGAAAAGTGAAAACAATTTAATGTCCATCAACTAATGAAACAAAATGATGTAACAAAATATGGAATATCCCACAATGGAATATTGTTGGGCCATAAAAATAGTATTTATGTGTACTATAGCATAGATAAGCCTAAGAAATACTATGTTAAATGAAAGAAGCGAGACATGGCTGGGCAGGATCACATAAGCATATATTCCCAGCACTCAGAAGATGGAGGCAGGATAATCAGGAATTCAAGGTCATCTTCAGCTACATAGTGAGTTTGAGGCCAACCTGAGCTATATGAGACTCTTGTCTCAAAAAAAAAAAAAAAAAAAAGATAGAAAGGAAGAAAGGGATAGAAGGAGGAAGGGGCTAGACACAAAGGACAGGAATATGAAGTGTCAGAATAGGCAAACGTATAGACAGAAAGTCTATTAGTAGTTGCCAGGGGGTGAAAGACAGGAAATAGGAGTGATGACTAAAGGATATGGGGTTTGTTTGAGATAATGAAAATATTCTACAATTAAACAGTGGTGATAGTTACACAACCACTCACCTATTTTTTAAAAAAATCACCAAATTGGCTGGGAATGGTGATGCACACCTTTAGTCCCAGCACTTTGGAGGCAGAGGCAGGTAGATCTCTGAGTTCCAGGTCAGCCTGGTCTACATAGTGAGTTCCAGGCCAGCTGGTGCTACAGGGAGACTCTGTCTCAAAAAGACCAAAACAACAACAACAACAAAAAACCCCACTAAACTGTACCCTTTAATAGGATGAATATCAATCCCTAAGGAACAAACAAGTACAAGGTCTAAGAGCAGAGTTACTTCTTCGGTAATGCCATAAAAGCTACATTCTAAACATGTTAAAGCCATGGTTCTAATTCCAAACTGACTCCTCCATGTGACTATCAACCATGACAAATAAGGGATAAGAGTAAAACCTTACCTGTAGGAACAAATAAGGTATGTCCCTGCTTTACCACACATTTGTAGCATTTATCTACTTTATCTCCAAAAAACACCTCACTCTGGGTCACAGATGAACTCCAAGATTCATAGAGTGCCAAATTTTCATTTGTTGGTTTTATCAAATAAAAAATCTTCTCACCCTAGAAAGAAGTAATCATACTACTTTGAAAAAGAAAAGTCATTCTTAGAATGGCCTATAGTGGTACAATTTCCCAATGAAAGAATCTAAGTTAAATTCAGTAATAATCAGACTCTGTTGTAGGTTCAAAAAGATCTCACATATCTGATCAGCAGCTAATTCCTTAATAAGCATGTTCACAGGATTGAAAACTCCCTCTACCCCCAACTGACAATCAATAATCGTATCAAAGAAACTACTGCAAGAGAGGAAAGAAAGAATCAATCACAAACATACCACTGGTAACTCTTATTTTAAGGTGTAGAAGTAAATATATGTTAACTGGCCCCAGATCATAGCATAATCATCTTTCTACCTTTATCCTCAGAACTATAAAGATCTTACAGACATAAACATAGACTCTTATAGATCATTAAAAACCTGTAAATAAACTTCCTTTAGCATCCTCAGAGAAAAGGAACAGATAGTTCTCAAGGACATAGCACCAAATCTAGTCCAGAGCACTGCTGAGGCACAGGCATCTGATACAAAAGACCTGATCCTGGACCAGTGATCATTAATGTGATTCAGTGATGACAGAAATTTTTTGGATCTATTCAGTAGAGAAGTCACAGCCAGATGAAATATAACTATGCAAACGAACTAAATTTATAATTATACTAAATTTTAGCTATTTAAATTTAGCTACATGTAGCTAATATTTTTTAAGCAGTGTAGTTCTGGATAAGTCAGAGTAAATAAAAACTGAAAAGAATTAGTAATTTTATGGACATTTGTGACTTATCCAGTTAGCTGTCTCATTCCTACCTTAAAATTGAAAGCAATTAATCATATCATCATAGTCTTGCTCCTTAGTCATTTGGTTCAAGGATTAATGGATAATTGATTAGGGGGAAGAGGAAAAAAGAGAAATAAGGGCTAAAAGAAACAACTTAAAATATGGGGGTTAAAAAAAAGTAATCTAAATAAAGAACTCATGCTCTTCTATGACCTGACCTTAAAAAAATAAAAAAAAGAAAGCAAAGGCAAAATGATAGATCCCGCTTAAAAAGCAGAAAAAAACACATTTATTAATGTTTAAAATGTTATTTATAGCAAATGAATGTCTCACCAGAAATATGACATTTTTTTGTTAATAAGAAAATAAATAATATCCAGGTCTTACCCAGAGGACATGGTACCAGACTGAAGTCCCACCGAAGTCAATGTGAAAGTCTGTATAGCTATCCTGAACTCCCATTAAGCAGTATTTCTGAACAAATGGCTTGGGAAAGACTGAATCATCTGGCCAATAATTTTCCACCCAGGAAAGTTTTCTAGCTATATCAGGGACCTCCACCAAGTCAGACATCCTGTAAAAAAACAAAAACAAAACAACAACAACAACAAAAAAATCCCCACATACATACATACACACATACTCACATAATATAAATCAAGACTTCTTAAAACTTTTCCTCATGTCAACCCAAACCAAGCAATTAAATGGACTCAAGATTAACAATAATATTTAAACATTTAAAACAACATATTTCTAAATAGTCTCTGGGCCTGCAAAAGCAAAATTTATAACACTGCTACCAATGGACGGCTATGTAAGTCACAATTATGTTTCTTACTAAAATAAATGTATTATTACATTTAGCTAAAACAGAGAATTCTAAGGCAAAATGTCCAGAACTACTCACTTTGTGTCTGAAAATTCAAGGCTGATCACATTTAACACTTTTGGTCTATTAGAATTCATGAAGTATTTAACATAATTATGAAGTGTCATTTTGCTGTCTGCCTGCCTTGCCACATCAATGACATCTATCACTTTGTCACCACCTGCAGAGAAAAATTACAATCTTATTTAGCCTTAAGAGTTACATCAATAGATGCTCTAAACAAAAATACTAAAGACCACATTTGCTTACTAGAATAATTAAGCAATTATAAAACTATATAGCTACAGAAGTAACACTGATTGTAAAAACATACATGGTTTACTAAGCCTTCTATGTATTAATGAGTTCTTGTGTAGGGCTCATACTAACAAAAATTACATTAAATTGGGATATGAAAATTGTCCAGTGCTTTCTGGCTTTCAGTTTCCTCATGCAAAAAATGAGAAGAAAAGCTTTTCCCTTTAACTTCTGTGATGTTTAACCTTCTAAGTCTGTTGTTTTGAAAAACAGGTCATCAAGGAATTAGTGAGCAAAATGACCAGAACAAAATAATTCCTGCTTTGCTGGTACTGCCTTCTAATATCCTCCTTCAAGAGAAGAAATCAGTGATTAGAAAGCAAAACCCAGTTCATATTAGTGAAGCTTGAAAGTCCACATTCTGAGTTGTGATTACTTTATAGTTTTTCCTATAAAATCAGGAGGTAATGCTGGTGGACCATTCTATCTTCATCCTAGGAAGCATAATCCATTTTACAATGGATTATAGAATAAGCTGGAGTTCAAAATACAGTAACAGGTAACCAATCTGAAGTAGAAAATAAATGCCCTACTCTTTCTTACATCAATGTAACTTCATATAGGTTATAACACAGATTTAGCTTCAAGATACAACAATTCTACTAATATTTAGTTGAGGCACCTTGCAGTACTAAAAAGTCAGTGGATGAAACAGTGTACTTTCCCTACACTTCTATTATACTAGCCATTTATTTTACAGGCAAGTATCTTTAGGGTAAATCTAAGCCTCATTCCTTAATTTATCATATATTCAGATTTAGTTGACTATCGAATCATATTTAACTTGAGTTTCTCAATGAAACAATTACCAGTTAAAATGAATAAAGGGACAAGTTCTTTAATATTCCACGCTGAGGAAATAACGTATCAGGGGACACACAATTTGAAACAAGGTAGATCTGGGTTCAAATTCTGAAATAACATCTATCTCTTGTCAACCAATGGCATGTACATATAGTTAGCGCTATAGATAAATGTCATAATGAGAATGAAAATAAAAATGTCAAGAATACAGCAATCAGTAAAAGGTTTTTGCCTTGTTTCTTACTTTGGGGGCCTCAAAATCACAAATAAGTCAAGATATCATTAAAGGACAATATTCACCAAGCTGTTAACATAAACAGCCCCTTCTTTTGGATACAGAAGGTCAAGAAACAGGATCCAGAAGACCAGTAGGCTCTGGAAATTTTATACTCCATTCTACAGATGCCAAGAACCAATCCAGTGCTCTGTAATCTGCAGGTGCCCCTTCAGTAATGGTTTTCCCTAAACAAGTATCAAATTTAACAACAAACAGTAGGATAAGGCTGAGTAAATAAGAGCAGGCAAAATGTGTCATTCTTTTCTGACCACTATAGATGTGCTAAAGTAATGCTTTCAACAGAAGCATTACCAAGTTTACTTTTCCTGACCCCTAGGATGCACCTAGGATGTAGAACTAAACTGACAGTTTTCATTCCATGTTAACACTGTTAGGACACTATGATTTGTAGTTTTACCATGTTTTTGCAAGTACTTAAGGAACCAAGTCCGTACCTACATAACGTTCCACATCCATCACTGAAAAATCAGGTGAAGGGAGCCTGAGTCCTAGGTCATCTAATTTAGGGACCATAATCGGGACATCAAATCCATGTTTCTCCAGGTATCTTTGTGTCAGCTGACTGCCATGCATCTTTACAATGATTTCATCGGCACTAAGAAAAATGTAAGAATAAAATGTTACTTTTGTTGATAAGCAAAAGAATGTTTAATTATCTGTATCATTAGTTCTCAACCTAATTCTCCTCTTTAAAATTGTTTCATAAAGGGTCTAGAGATTGCTTGCTGCTTAAGAGCTCTGACTGCTCTTGCAGAGGACCCAGGTACAGTTCCCAGCACCCATATGGAAGCTAGCAACCTTTCATAAATCCAGTGGCAGGGGATCTGTTGTCCTCTTCTGGCCTCTTCGGGCATCACACACACAGGTGCACTTACATACACAGAGGCAAAACACTAATACACATAAAATAAAACCAAAATTTTTTTAATGTTTCATGAAGTCCATAAAGTAAATTTCATAGGAAATTATCTATCAATAAAATAATAAATAACAAAATATGTCATATGAGAATGTAAATTATGGTAAAATACTGGATGTTGCACAACAGTCACAGATTGAGATAAACTCTGTATACATATGAGAAGATATCTATATGTAATAAAGAAAGCAAATTGCACAACATCATTTGTAACATAATCACATATTTTAAAGAACTGCATGCATATGTGCATCTACATACATATATATATATATATTTTGTTGTTGTTGTTGTTGTTGTTGTTTTCATCTTTTTGAAGCAGGGTCTCCCTGTGGCCCCAGCTGTCCTGGAACTTACTATGTAGACCAAACTGGCCTTGAACTCACAGAGATCCTCCTGCCTCTGCCTTCCAAGTGCTGGGACTACAGGTGTGCACCACCACACCCAGCTATATACATATTTTAATATGGAAAAAAAACTAAAGACTTACATTGAGATAGGGGAAGATTTTATACACCTCTGTGCTAATTATATCAACTATGCATAATTTAGTTATGTTTGTTGTTTGGATATTCGTGATCATCTCTGAGTTGCTCTCATTTGTATTTACTTTGACAGAAAAGCTGTATGAATTAGTACTACTTCTTGGGAGTCACAAACCTGTCAGAAATAAGTGAAAGCCATTTTTCCTGTCCCTGAAAAATGTATTCACACAATGACACTAAATTATATAGACAGTTTTAGGAAGTACATAAAACCTCAATGAAACCTGCAAATAGATCCAGACTAAAAATCTAGGACTGTACATCAAATCAATCAAGCATTGTCCAATAAAAAGGAAAACAAGCAAACTGTTTCTTCTACAACTTGGAAACTGATAAAGAAAAATAGTTTGATGTATAACTATTAATTCAACTGTAAACCTAAAAATTTAAAGCCAATTTTGAAAGAGATGCATCTTAGCTCTGGAAATTGTTATTGAATATGTTAATGCTGTTGTAATGAAATCCTTCTTCTAAGTAATGTGATTATTAAATAAATAATTTTTAAAAAAGAAGAATAGCATCACTATGCCCAGCTGTAATGTTTGTCTTTCTGAATCTGGCTTCATTTTGTTTAACATAATGATCTCCAGTTGTATTAATTTTCTTTCAAATGTTATACAT